AAGAGGCTGTTTCTCAAATTGTTTCCACTTCCTTTTTTTTTTTTTTAGTGAAACAACATGAAGAGCTGTGCTTCTCTTTGAACAGAAAGTGACCACCAGTGAAATAAATAAATATTTTCAGCTTTGAGGAAAAAAACTAAATTGACATGAGCCAGTAGTTTCTAATCTTCTTGAGTATGAAAACCTCCTTCTTAATTGCAGTAACTTTTATAGACGCTCTCATGATACATACTTATACTTTTAGCATTTGGTGAAAATTCACTGAATTCTCAAAGATTGGGAACTATTCGTAGGCAGTAAAAATACGGTGGAGCTGCATTATAAATACAAATTCAACAAAGATTGATTCATTCATGCCATGTTAATGTGCAAAGCAGAAGATATTAAAGTAACATCTGCTCTGTTTAAAGAAAGGAAGTAAAAGTAGTGGTAGGTAGAGTGTACTAGCTTCATTGTTCATTCATCCAACGGTTATTTACTGAGCATATTTGTGAACATATATTGGAACAAGTCAGCCTAACCCAACATTCTAACAAGGAGTTCCCTATGGATATAAGTAAATAAGGTAATTAACAAGAATATTAGAAGGTCTAAGCCCTATGGAAGAAAAATAGTAGAGAGGATAGGTGGGATTGATTGAGAATGTGACAGTGAGCAAAAACTTAGAGCAAACGACAGAGTCAGCCACGGGAATATCTGTGAGACCAGGAGAGAGACAGGTAAGAAACGCTGAGGTGGGAGCAGGCCTGTCATGTTCCAGGAACCTCAAGAAAGCCCGTGTGGCCACGGGGGCATGATGGGGAAGGGGAAAGTCATAGAAGACCAGGCCGGGAAGGTAACGTGGGCCACGTCACCTAGAGCCTTGTAGGCTGTGTCATGTCTTTGGGTTTTACTCTGACTCAAGTAGGAAATGTGGCAATGTGAGGAAATATTCCATTTTTAAATGTATTGCCAGTAGATTAGTGGTTGCCAGGAACTGAGTGGGAGGTGGTGAGAGAATGGGGAGTAATTGCTAATGAATATAGGGGTTCTTTTGGGGATGATGAAAATATCATAGAATTAGATGATGCTGATTGTTGCACAACCTTGTGAATATAATAAAAAACACTGAATTTTACACTTTAAAAGGGTCAATTTTACTGTATACAAACTGCATCAGTAAAAGTATTGCAAGAAAAAATTGGTTTCCAGGGCTTGCCAGGACCATTTTTTGCATCTCTTCCACATCATGAATACAACTTTTGCCTTTGAAAATTCAGATTTCTAACTGGTTATATCTTAACTGAGAGAACATCTTAGTGTTGTTTGCTATGTTTTCACCAGAAGTAAAAGATGTTCATCTATCTTAAAGTTTCTTCATTCATTGGAGTTATTACTGATTGTAAAATCAAATTTTCCACATACATTTATTGTTTTGTACTCTTTAGATGCCTGTGTTCACTATTACTGAGTAAGATATGATAGTGAGATGTTTGTAACCTCTGGCTATCAAAATGAATGTAATTTTTAGGCTGGATTTTGTTAAACTAAGATATTTTCCGTACAATTTATTTTGTGATTCTTTTATAGGGTGTAGAAAATTAGATCAATATGATAATGTTTTTCAAATTATGGTTTAAAGCATGCAAGTAAGAAAAATTCCTTTGCTCCGTACAATTTATTTTGTGATTCTTTTATAGGGTGTAGAAAATTAGATCAATATGATAATGCTCTTCAAATTATGGTTTAAAGCATGCAAGTAAGAAAAATTCCTTTGCTCATTCCATTGACCAAAACCCAAAATTGTATGATCTTCTCTTCCAGGAGACACAGTCTTTTTTAATAGAAAGAGCAGGAAATGTGTTTAGTTAAGGTTTCTTTTTTTTTGTCTTTCAGTGTTTTAGATTTAACATTGGCATTTCCCTAGACTTTTATTCTGTGACAACCTAGTAAAACGGATTGAAATATTATGTGGTCATATTTTAATTGTTTCTCTTTTCTTTTTGGCAGGGGGGAGGTGTAGTATAATTTTGGTTTTACAAATAGCGTAAGTGGTTTTCATTAAAGAAAAAAAACAGTGAATATTACAGTCCTACTTTGAGCAAAACATTAACTCTCTATGGCAACTCAAAATATAGAGTTTGTTTTGTTTTGTTTTCCAGTTCTAATACAGTTTGTATACAGTTGTAGAGGTTATAACAGTTTGGTGAAGTTCTAAGTCATAGCATTTGCTAAACTTATTTTACTTTGATGACTTGAATTGAATGGTTAAACGAATTAAATAAAAATGTTTAATTAATTATGAAAATTAAGCACTTTCTGCTCTTTTTTTGGGCTTTTTAAAAGTTAGCTTTTAACTTTTTCAGGGATCTTATCCTGAACTATGCTATCCTCTATGGTAGTCTCCCCTCTTGAAATAGGTGCCCTTGCTCGGTAAGATTCCTTTTTTTTATTGTTGGGCCATGTTTTTGAGGGATTGCTGGGGGAGTGTAGAGCTCACCTTCTTTTTAGATTGAGTTGACAGAACTCTCCAAGAAATTGTGAGATAAGCCTGTTAGACCAATTACATTTTCAAAATTTTGAGTACTTTGAAAATCTGTGGTAACTCAGATTTCTTCTTATTTACAGAAAGTCGGCACCCTAGGGAAGAACTAATCTGCTTTTACTTCATTGTTCCAATCTGAACGAATGTACTTAGAGATTGATTAAATATTTTTTCTTCTGACCAAGGGAAAGTATGTCCAAATCCTTAAGTAATTACATTCTTAATACAAATATTCCTCATTTTCTTAGCTGGAAAGGGAGTGTAGCTTTCAAACACCTGTATTTTTCATTTGTGTGATGGTGACTTTAAATTGAGCTTTAAGCACTTTTAGTCACTTAACTCTCAACCAGCTTAGTTTAGAAAGCATAACATTTCACAGGGGTTTATTTTATAAAACTCTGCACTCTTTGATGGCTTGAGAGAATATTTGAAACACTAAAATAAGCCTGAATTTAGGAGGAACATGTTTTAACCTAATCTAAAAATTTGATTTCAGTTGATGAGCAGAAGTTAAAAGGTGTATATTTATGGTCTTTCAGTGAAATAAACTATATAAAGAGCTAAAAATAAGACATCCAACTCATCATATGAGTATCAGCAGAATATTTCACGAAGAATATTGTGAAAATTTAGGAACTTTGGACAGTTGTACACTACCACACTTAATATATTTGTATGTGCACTTTATCCTTGCACAGATCTGTAACTCCTGATAGATTGTGAATTACCTAGAAGCAGGCGTCTGTTCATCTTTTTCTCCCCAGCACCTAGTGCCTGTCTCATAGTGAAGATTCACTTAATGTTCATTGACAATATTTTTGATTGTCAGCATCATTGGTAAATCCAGGCACTGCATTCAGGTGGCTATTGATGCATCTGCATATGTGCATGGAATACATTAATAAAAACTGGGTCTGTTTTAACCATAAGTACTCAAAGTTGAGGACTGATCTCCCCCATACCCAACACCCAATATTTGACCTGTGCATGTTAGCCAGTCAGCATTCAGTTGCACTTTAAATTAGAAAATGGTGTGCCGGACAGCGCCCAGCCGAGTGCCAGGGCGGCCACGCGGATCGTAGGACCGGGATCTGGGAGTCGGGACGCGCGGAGGGCGTTGCGGGGCGTAGTCGCGTCACTCAGCTGGATCGACCAATAAGCGCCTTGCCCCGGGACAGGCCAAGCCAATAGGAGACGGAGAGGCTTGTGAGTGGCATTGAGCGAGGGCGGGATAGAGGGAGCCCGGGAGTGAAGTTGAGGCTAAACCCGTAAGCGATAAAGTTACAGGGGGGCGTTTTTGGCTTCCAATTAGGAATAATACTGGCTTCGTAGCAACTGCCTAGGAGGAGGATTCTAAAACCACCTCACCCGTCCCCAAACCCGCATCCTCCTCCTCCTGCCACGCACTCTTCCCTCAATTCATGACCAAGAAAAGGGAGCCAGGGAGCCAGGGAGGCTTCGCTCCTCTCTGCTGAAGAGAAGCGGAGAGGACCGCGGAGCCGCTTGGTTGGCGGTGGGCATGAGTGCAGTCAGGGGGTGGGCGCTTCCGCACCCTTTGCCGCCGGCGGGGACTCAAGGTAGGTGAAGCAGAGGACACCTGCGCCCGCCCAGCGGCGCCCACAGCTCTGCAGCGGCGGGGGAGAGGCCGGGACGCCTCCCAGCCCCCGGCGCCTGCGAGGGGCTGTCGCGAGTGTGCCACCTGTGAACCTGGCGCTGCCGTGCCCCTGCTGGGCAGGGAGAGCGCTGGGTCGCCTTGGGAGTCCCGAGGGACTTGATGTGTAAGTGCCACTTTCTGAGGAATCCTCATTCTTGAAACCCAAGTCAGAGAGGCAGCCAAGCTCCAGATCTGCCAAGGTCGGGGACCGAGAGGCGACCGCAGCGTTGAGGAGTCTGATTTGCGGAAACCTGCTTTCCTGGGATGTGCGCCTGGACGGGGCGCGGGCACGGGGACCGGTGGCCGAAGGTCTCCTGAGGGTCTTCAGAACTACGCGTTGTGTCGTTTGGGCAACTTCCCAGGGGGCTGGAGAATGTGGCTGGCAGGGGTGAAAGAACTCGAGCAGTATTTGCTGGAGGCTCAGTCTCGCTGCTGATTTCTCCGTCTCTTAAAAAACAAAAACGCCGAGCCTGGCGAGGAAAGCCGAGGCGCGCGGAGGCCCTTTCCGCCCGTTTCTCGGAATTGGGGCGAGTGCGGGGGGGATTGTGGAGTCTCGTATCTCTTACGCTCTGATGCTGTTGTCTTCACAGTGGCCTGAAAGAGTTGTCCGGAATTCCTGTTCTTCCCAAAGGGGCTTGGAGCCGCCTCAGATGCTGCGGGACTGAAGAACAAACGTCGAGGATTATTATGTCGATTTCCCGAGGATCAGGATTCTCAGTGCGGAACAGAAGAAAAGGCTGGCTCCTCGGGGGTCCCGCCGGCATTTGATACTCAGAGACCCCCAGGATTGCTCAGATTGCCGTGGATCAGCAATTTTCCTATATTCGCACCCTGCATTTTCAAAGAAAATACTTTCTGTTCTCTCTGGTCTTTTACTACCATAAATACACTGTCCCTGCTGCGAATACTACAGTCTCTTCATTCAAACATGCTTTATGTTTTTGCCAAATATGATCTCTAACTGAAAGTTTATTTTTGGTTTTGGATGAATCTGTGGAGCTTACGTTGTAAGAAGAAAGGGGGAACAAGGCACAATGAAAGAAAAGTCCAAAAATGCTGCGCGGACTAGGAGAGAGAAGGAAAACAGTGAATTTTATGAACTGGCTAAATTACTGCCTTTGCCCTCGGCTATCACCTCGCAGCTGGACAAAGCATCCATAATCAGACTGACGACCAGCTATCTCAAAATGAGAGTGGTGTTCCCAGAAGGTAAGTGACTTTGCCCAGATGGAATTTCAAAGGCAGATCCCAGGCAATGAGCCTACACTAGTGAGCAGAGAAGTACATGCATATTTACATACATACTCTCTGAAAAGGAAAGTTTAACCCTGCTGCTTGACTAAGGTCCTTGCTGAACTCATAATTCCTGTTGCCTTTTCCAGGCTTTCTCTACTTCCCAATTAATACTTTCTCTTCAGTCCATGTTTGGTTGGGAAGCAGCCCAACAGTGCTTTTGTCAACACTTCAGATACTGGGCTCAATTGAAAGTACTGCTAATCCAAACACGACTTTCTTTTTTATTCCTCTTGTTAGAATTGTATCCAGTAAAAAGCAAGAGCACTGCCAAATTCTGTATTTTTGCTAGGTATATAGCTAGACCCATGTATATGGAACTAGCTAAGCCATATAATTTCTCTACATGTCTATAGTTCCACAGATAAAGAGCAGGCATATTCATGAATGAATATGTCCTGAATTTACCCAGTCTCTTAATTGCATATAGCAAATTTATTCTGAGTTTCCAAGACATTCACAGGTACTGAAACTAACTCTGTGGCTCGGTAATTTGCAACTTCGGGTTTAGTATTATCTGGAAGTTAACAGGCTAGTCCCAAAATATGTAAGATTGGATTAAGATGCCTAGCCCACTTAGACAATATTTTCTGGGTGGCAGGTTGGCAAACAGATTCTGGAAAAATTGTCTTATAAGGCCAAGAAGTTAAAATAGCTGAGCTGTTGACATGATTTAAAACTTGTATTTAGATTGTCAAGATTCACTGTGTGAGGACAGAGCAGCCTTCATAGAACACTGTCCTGTATAAAACCACTTATACTCAGTAGGAAAAGGACACTTCTTGCTTTCATTTACTCATCCTTTCCTTTATTTGCATCCAAATAACATAAGCAGATTTAAAACATATTTTAGATATGTCATTCCTAAGGATGTGAGGGAAATTAACACTTGACGCATAGCACTGTTGATGGAAATGTAAAATGGCACAACTGTGGAAAACTGTTTGGCACCATGAAGGATAAAACCCTTTTACACAGCAATTCCAATTTGAGAAATTTACCCCACACACATTCACAAGTGATGTATATGCAAGAATATTTGTATCTTTTCAAGTGACTATACCAATACCTAAGTTCTAGGATAGTCCATATTCTTGCCAAAACTCACTTTTTCTGTGGTTTTTAATTTTAGCCATTCTAGTCGATATTCAGTGGTAACTTCTTACAGTTTTAATTCACATTTCTGGTAACTGATGATGATGAACATCTTTTCATGTGCTTATTAAGCATTCATTTATCTTTGATTAAGTGTTTAAGCCATTTGCCTTTTTTAAAAAAATGGGGATTGTCTGTGTTCTTATTACTGAGTTGTTAAAATTTTTTGTATGTTCTCGATAAAAGTCTGTTGTCTAATACGTGTTCTGTGAATATTTTCTCCAGTCTTTGGCTTGCCTGTTTATTTTCTTAATAACCTTTGGAAGATAGTGTAATTTTGATGAAGTTCAATTCATCAGTTTTTTTTCTTTTATGGTTAGTGCTTTTTGTATAATAAAACAATCTTTGTATATACTTCAAGGCCAAGAATATTTACTCCTAGAAGTTTTATATTTTTAGAGCTTTTATATTTAGCTTATTTTTTTCCATCAGATTTTCTAAATTGTCTATAACCAGAAAGGGGGAAAAAATATTTAGAACCACTGCTTTAGGCTGCTGTCTAGTTTTCCAGATTTGTTAATTATATGGACAGCATCACATCATGCTATCCCTTTCCCCTACTAAAACAGTTTCTGAATTAATGGAGAGAATGACATTGCTTTTGATAAGATATATAGCAGTGGAATATCTGGCTACACTTCCTAAGTAAATTTTTTTATTTCATTTCTAAATAATCCTGTTGGGAATTTTAATGTTCAACAAGTATGTAGACCCCCTGGAGCTGCCCCTTACAGATGCCCTTTTGCTGCTGCAGGGAAAAAAAAAAAAAAATCCCAGAGAAAGAACTCTGTTTATTTGCAAACGAAGACTGTTTATGTGACCTGTAGAGGTTTATGTTGTTGATTTGGATGTTTGGGATCTGTTGGTTTCTTTAAAAGAAATGGAACAGGAGTGGGGGGAAGAGAATAGTCATTATTGGGTTTGAAGTTTCACTTTGCTTGATCCTAAAGTTATTATTCAAGTCAAAAGCTTGCAAAACATGCTCCAAACTAGTCAGGGGCACTAAAGGAAAACTTGCAAATTATAGTTCAGTTCTACCCTCAAAATGTTAGTAATGTTTTAGTCGTTTATTCTTAATGAGGTTCCTTGAACAGTTTTCCTCATCTGACCCTGGAAACCACGGGAGGAGAGGAATCAAAGCCTAAAGTACCTAGAAAGTTTTTTTTTGTTTTGTTTTTTTTAATAAAGAAGAAAAGGAAGGGGGAAAAAAGGAGGGGGAACTTATATTAAAAACCACATTTCCCATTCAAACTGTGCTGAAAATCGATGGTGGGAAAATTACCATTATACTACAATGCCTTCTTCTTAAAAAAGAGATCTCGTTGTCTTTTATATTGTCAGCGCCTACTTTATAAAAAATAAAGCTATTGCGAACTCCGCTGCGCTGCTCCTAACAGGATTATTAGCAGTGATTTGTCAGCCCCTGCGGTCTCAGTGGGCTCCCTTTATGCGTGATTTCTAGCCGGTCTCGTCAATTATCGGTGCCGATGTCGCTCGCTGTTTGATCAGAAACAGCATATGGTGCTGCTTGTGGGGCTGCGATTAATCGCGGGAGAAGAATAGTGGATTGGCTTCTGGGGCGGGCACCGAGAGGAACGGAAGAGCCCGGGGAGTCTCCAGGCAGGGGAAGCTGGTCTGTTTAGTGCAGATCCAGGGCTCGGAGGGGATCAGGCTGCTTCTTGTTGTTGTTTTTAAGAGAGCAAGCTTTCTTGTTTAATTAAGTGCTAACTCCACAAATTATAAATCGCATTATAAATAAATATGAAGAACAAAAAGTAAATTCTCATAGCCAACTTCCCGTTATTTTTTAAGAGAGCACCCATGAAGATTCCTGCAGGAATTCCCTTGGTGGTCAGGCCGGTCCCCTCAGACTACTTTCTCAGCGACTGACTGTGCTTTCTGCTGCCCCCCTCACCTTCCTCCCAGTCCTGGCCTCCTCCCACCCTCCCTTCTTCTGTGGGTGAGTGTGAGTTTATGGGGAGGAGGGGATGGACGATGTGTGAACTTTGGGCACATCATTTATTTCTCCAGCTACTGTTGACCTCATAACTCACTCACAGCCTCCACCTAGTGATTTAGACAGGGTCATCCGAACAGCTGGCTCCAAGAGATGAGGTTTTAATTTTGACAGTGGATAAGTTTCAAAAGCCCAAAATCCAAACACAGTCCTTTAAAACATTAAAGAACAAAAACAACAAACAGAAGCGAAAACAAAAACACAACAGCTTTCAATGGAGCGAAACAGTCACAAGCCGAAGAACCAGGTATTACCTGCAGGCGGTGGCAAATTTGGGCTCAGCATTGGCTGAAAGCAGAGGGTGGACAAGGTTGGGGTCCAAGGCAGAGTGAGAAATGGAGCAATTTATATGAGTGTAATCTTTTTCAGTGATAAAAAATGGAATGTTTGAAGATGAAATACATCCCTCTTGAAGCTGTCCTAGCACATAGTAGGCCATCAACAACATTTTGTTTTAAGGATGGGCTAAAGATAGCTATTTCATCATGGTAAACATTCTGTCACATGTAACATATGCATTTTGCGAGGTATATGATCTAAAATAATTATAAATCTGGTGACATAGCTATAGGCATAGCAGTGCTGCAAAACTTTAATGTTTTTACTATTACATTTCATCTATAATACCCTATAATGCCAAAAGCCTATAAGTTAACAGAACAAACAAAAATTCTTCCATACTTACATTTGAAAAAAGAAAAAAAATTCCTTAGAGTACAGATTTTCCCCTCCCCCCATTCCCTCCCACCCCCACCCCCACCCAATTGCTGAATACAGTTTTTTCCCCAGGGTCTAGTAGCTTTTTTGTTTGGGGGCAAGTTTCAGTTTTTATTTACCTCAGTAGATAAAACTGAACTGTTGAGGGGAAAATGAGAGACAGAGAAAGAGAACAGAGGAATGGGATATGGGTACCTGAAATAAGAATAAAGCATTAGACTGGAGATTTCATTGCTTAAAAAAAAAAGGAAAAAAGAAAAAAGAAAGAAACTCAGGCAATATTGTGAAATCATTAAAACTCTGTATCTGCTGACTGGTAACACTGTATTCTAAAATAGGCTTGCAGAGGAAAAAGTGAAGCATGTAATGTAGAAATGTATAAACCTTTAGTGTTATCAAAGCCAGAAAAGCAGGATAAAAAAGATGGCATGATTTTGTGTACAAAATAGGACAAATTCAACTAAAAGGAAATATATTATTGTTATCCAGCTATAATGCAATTTCAGCTGTGGGCCTAGTGGCTTGCAGAATAAACTTTGAAGGGAACAGACATATTTTCATATCTATAGCTATTCAGAATCTTGGTAACATCACACTACCATTTCATTGTCAAAACGTCTTGGGAAAATAAAAATAATCAGAGTTGAAATTAGTAACTGCTCAGGAAAGAGAGTCTCTACAAAGGACAAGGATGATTAAACAAACCTCCACAGACCGTTTCTATAATATTCACCTCAAGATTGAAATCCTTAATGGCGTTATATTTGGGGGTGGGGTGGGGGAGGGCCTGAGAACTGAAAGAGAAAAGGAGGTCCCATTTCCCACGTGGATGGGTGATTTAAAGCTGTTTTTCTTGCTTCTCGGGAAATGATTGAGCATTAGGTTTCCATGTTTATTTTCTTACAGAAGTTTTTCTCATTTAAAAGCCTTTAAGCACAGTTTACGCTCCACACCGGTTTTCTGTGTTTAATTCCAGTTTTGATGTTGACTTAAAATGTGGATTGCAGAACTAAACTCCGTGCAGAGC